CTTGTGTGTACACGGAGCAGGTTGAGAAGGGGGTGTGCTGCCTTTTTGGATAAATTAATTTCCATTGGATCAACACCACACCCTTGTGTGTACACGGAGCAGGTTGAGAAGGGGATGTGCTGCCTTTTAGGATAAATTAAGTTCCATTGGATCAACACCACACCCTTGTGTACACATTGCCCATGTGTGCAGGCAGAGTGGGGTAGACCGCTTGGCTGACAGAGCCTAAAATCGCTACTATCTGTCCCTCTGCAGAGAAACCTTTGCCTGCTCGAGATCTGGAGGCCCAGCAGGTGGTAGGTTTGGGTGAGAGCACAGAGAGGGGGTGGGTGGGAATAAAGCCTGAAGAGCAGGTTGAAGTGGTGAGTGTTGAGAGGCCACTGAAGGCTTTTGAACAGGGAGTATCGTGATAAGATGAGAACTGTGATTTGGGAAGATATCTGACAGCTGGGGAGATTGGTTGGTAAGGGAGAGACTGAGGGACCTGTTGGAGATCTTGGCGGCAGTCAGGCAAGAAAGGAGGGGTTGAACTGTGGGGAGGAGTTGTGAGTTATTGGGGTGGGGGTGTGTGGCAGGGAAGTGACCAAGGGCACTGAGTTTTGGGCATGGTGCCAGAAATAGAAGCAGGGATACAGCAGAGAGCTGGCCAGCTCCTGCCAGCAGTTTTCCCATACTGCTGGCACCTGGGCGAGACCAACAAGGCTCTGGGGCTGCCAGACTTGGCTTGGGAGTGTAGACAGAGGTGGGCAAGGAAGGGGAGAAGGGGAGGAAGTTGATAATTTCCTTCCAACTTTCTCTAGGAGGAATTTCTAGAAGGGTAAATCTTGCATTTGCTGCATCCTTTCCCCAGTTCAGGTCCCCCAGTGCCACCCACATAGCTAGCTCTTTCATGCTTCTGGTGGCATCCCACAGTGTGGGAAAGCTCTTCCCAGTCCCAGAGCCCAGCCTCCCACTGTTCAGCAGCCCAGGCCTGTGCCCTTTGGGTACTGCAGAGTCATAGACCCTGAGCTTGCCTTGAGGGGATGAGAGGCTCAGAGTAAGGTTAGGGGCAGGGGCTGGGACAGCTTACGCCTGTTCCCCTAGACTAGGCGTTGGGAACGTCTGGCCCATGAAATTATTTGGTTTGGCCCTGCCAAGGCAACCGAAGTTTCAGCCATCACATTAGGTAGGGGTGAGTTCATTAAATGTTTGACCAAATATAGTAGGCTAATTTTTAAGTTGATAATTTTGTATGGCCAGAGAATGATGTTATAAATATCCAAATGGCTCTTGGCAGAAAAAAAGGTTTCCCAGCCCTCCCCTAGAGTCTCTCCACTGGAGTCCACGCAGTGAGATGGGCTTCAGGGGTAGCCTGGGTGGGGGCGAGGCAGCAGAGGACAGCCTGCCACCTGGGGGCTCAGGGGAAGGATGCAGCCTGTTTCCCCTCATTTATTCAACTGGTGTGGAGGTGACTGTGGATGTTTCTTTCTTTCACTGGGATGTGAGCATGGCTGTGACCATTCATCTTTGGAACTCCCTGTGGGAGGGAGCATTGGTCAGGAGGACGGCCAGGAATTTGAAACTCCTGTTGTTTTTGAATTAGGTAGTAGAACTTCTTTCTCTCTGCACCCATCCCACTCCCATGTGCCATTTTCAGAGAAGGTCAGCTGATGGGCAGACACCTGGCACTGTTCTGGGTGCCAGGACCGGGTGAGGGCTCTCAGGTTCCCCTTAGAGGTTACTGCAGCCTTCACTCTCTGCTCTGAGTTTTCTGGAAGTCAGCTGGTGTTCACCTGGGGCAGACTTCTTCCCGTCTTTGCTCCCTGAGCTGCTGGGGTAGAGAAGCGGGCAGGAGGCTCTGGGTTTCCCCTTATAGCCCTCTTCCCTGGCCCTCCCTGCTCTTCTCATAATCCCTGTCTTAGGAAGCCAAACTAAGCTTGGCTCAGCATCCTGCCTTGTGGAATTAAGGAGCCCTTATGTTTGTGCAGAGGTTTGCTGTCCCATATGCACTGTGTCATATATCATCACATGTGTCAGTGAGGTACGCTTGTCTCTCTCTATTTTATAGATGAAGACACTGGGACTCCAATAGATGAAGGGGCTTGTCTCCGGTCATTGGCTGAAACAGACTGAAGCCCAGGGCTCTGGCCTCTCAGGCCCTTCCTTAGGTGAAGGGTGATCCTGTGGGGGGTGGGCAGTCTGAATGAACAGGTTTGAGGGTCTCAGGACAAACATCTGTGCACTAGCTCTCATAGCACCGAGGGAAGAGCTTTGGGACAGCCAGTGGGGCCTGCATGTTACCTGCATTCAGCACAGTGTGGGGCCCTCAGCCTGGAGTCTGCAGCTCTGCCGTGTGGCTGGTGCAGGAAGGCTGGTGACTGCTGGGAAAGGCATATCCGTGATGGGGCTGTGATAGGCATGGGGAGGGTCCTGTCCCTGATCTTCATGGAGGTCAGTCCTTTCCTCCCCAAAGTCCCTGGGGCCCTAGTCAGAGACACAGCTGCCCTGGATTCCCTTGGGGCTTTCTCACTGTATCCTGGGTCAGAGGAGAGGGTGAAGGGGTCCTCTCCTGCCCCTTCTTCTCCTGTATTCCCTCCCTGCTCCTCTGTGACCCTCCCATTCCCTTCTGCTCCCTGCCCCCTTCCCCCTTCTTCCCCCCCTACTCTCCCTGCCTCTTCCTATCACCCTTTGTTCCCCTCCCCCTT